TAACAAGTCGGTTTAATGTTCGGTTTTATTGAAGCTGCACAAACTTTGTAACGTGACTTGCTTTAAGTTCTCAATGTTCGCTTAGGAATGTGCTCCATCTGATAATTCTTCAGAAACTCAAAAGCACAAAAAGCATCCATTGTTCAGCACCGTATGATCAATCAGTAAACAAATGAAAGGGCTGAACCAAACTAGTATACTTGCGGCGAAAAACCCAAAAAAGTGCAATAAATACTAAAAGATTGAGCACTCCCGGTAGCGGATTGCTCGTAAGGGTTCGTTGTTCCAGTAGGGTACGGTGTTTTGATGCTTACAGTGTGGTCCCACCAGGCAGCGCTATCTTGAGGAGGTCTCTGACGACAGTCGCCGGGATTTAAGCCATGAATGTGCTTTTCTTTAGCCCGACGTAGCCATGCGCCGATGTCTCCTAGGGCCTCAAGTTGTTCCCAATAGGTAACCAGCGGGACCCATTTTTCGTCTAGTTGGTGTCTTCAACTGAATGTATTCTGGGTGCATCCAATGCTGTCTTTCAGCTCGGATAGAAACTTGATTTCTTCGTATTCTCTTTGTTTTGGTAGGAATAGCTGTCCAAACTAGGGGAAGTGGTGACGAAATCGTTAGATGGTCTTGTATTGCGAGTAGTATGTACATATTATGCAACATTTTTTCTCATTTGACTGCAAATAACTGTTTCGTGCCTAGATCGTGGTTGAGGGGGGAGGGGGAGTCTGAACAACAGTAAAACGAACCTCCTTTTTCCTTGATAAATTCGTTTACTCATTTAGAATGACACGGTTAGGTTTTCGAGGAACTTATTTCTACATAAGTCACCCCATGGCAAACCTTGGTTTTCTTTGTAGATTTGGGTATAGACGGTGTATAGCTTCCGTCCCATGAAACCGAACCGTATAGGTTTCCAGGGGGTCGGAAGATCCGATGAGAAGGTGACCCCATCTATTCAAAAGTTGTAAATGAACTATAGCATCCTTTCAACAGCATCAAATGCTTGTCAATATGCCAAGTGCATGGCGCGTTCCAAGGCGAACCTTCCACAACCGTTAAAAATAATTTTGTCGAGCTCGAGAAATGACTTTTGAGTTTGTGCAGCTTCTATGAAACTTTACTCCAAACCGACTCTTAAGAAAAAGCTAAAAAGGGAAGAATCAGCTCGTTTAGTATTTTTCGATTTTCGAGGATAGTTACATTATAGTTGTCAAATCACGGTGCTTCTCACAAATTCACTTTTTCAAAGTTGTCCAACGATTGGTGAACGAAATATCCAGGAAAACTATCTCGAAACCGAGGAAATGCTTAGAATTAAACGGCAGGTTTTCGAATCGATAGGATCTATCTTACAGTTAAATCTTTCGAATTTCCATGGGAATGAATCGATCGCGGATTTTAACTCCTTTCTTTGGCGTCCATTGGAGAGCTCGCAGCCGTCTGAGAAGCTGGCGACCGCAGCCTTGGCTCGATTTTGAAGTGCTCGGACTATGCGACAAGTAGGTGGTTACCACTGCGACTTCTGAAAAGACCATCTCTGCGGGTATTTCATTACTAGTCGCTTATCTCTGTAGAGCGTGTTTTGTCAACGATCGTCTTAGACTTACTGCAGTGACTGTACGGAAGTTGCTGGCGGGAAGTATTGTATTTTGCTCTCTTCGTTTGCAGATCGGGAGATCGATATCGTGTTCCCTGGTACTTGCTGCTCCTGCGGGAACCGACCAATACACGGATTGATCGCTATAAATGGCATAGAGACGACTGCCGTCTTCCATGATGCCGGTGGTACCTCTGGACCTTGTGGGGTACACCTTTCCAAAGTGGTGGCTTTGGGGACACAACTTTTGTGAGCAACGTTCGCTATTGAGCCGTCTCGACACACTGGGAGAGAGTGGCTCGAGAGGGGAACTTCTGGCACGCCAAGGCACACCGGCCTGTGGACCTCGATGAGACACCTCGACAAGTCGAGTCCATCGGCGGGAAACCAAAGGAAACGCGCGCGTAGGGGGGAGGGGATGAGGTGGGGGAAAACTTAGGGTGGGAACAACACTTTTGTTGT